CCCCCCCCCCCCCCCCACAGTACATCGTGTCACCATTCAAGGACGCCTTTCTCTACATCAAGGATGTGCCATACCAGTACGCCTCGCAAATCATTCACAAGCTCAATCGGGACCCCGTCGCAGGTGCAGCATCGAAACGAGAGGCGGATGCAAACGTCGCTTCGTCGTCGTCGTCGGCGTCAGCGCCGCCACGCTCAGCAGATGCCGACGTTCACCGCATCTTTGACGACTGGGGCAAGAAGCAGCACGAGCTTGCGCAGGCTGATCTCGCTAGGCTCGATCAGCGCGCAGCGGAACGTCGAGCTGATAGCCCGACATTGGGTTACGTCACGCACGATGATCTCGGAAACGACGGTGACGATACAGTCGTGCGTGTCACGCGGATCACGCGGATCACGCCGATCACGCGGATCGACTTTGCATGCTTCGAGGGCTGACATCTTTGCTGACCCCCACCTGCACAGCACACTGCCCTTCCATTCGCTTCTTCACCAGACTATGTAGCGTCGCCCTTGACAGGTAACGCTACCGCGGCAATGCCCGACAGTGAGTGCGCGCGCGCGCGCCCGGCGATGCGAGAAATCTGGCCCTCTTTCTTTCCCCCATTCCGAGTACTGACGCGCCCGCGCCTCTGCAGCGCTCGTCGACGTCATTCTCGTCGACTTTATCCTGAGCTCCGTCGTTCGCATCCTCAACTCGGTTCAGACTGCCAAAAAGTACGCCAACTCGGACGCTACGGCGTACAATAGCCTCACCACGCAAGACCTATACCCGCTGTACGCTCAAAAGGCGTGGCAGTAGGCGTAATCTCCTCTCCGCCGCCGCCGCGCCGCCACGCGCGCGAGCGTAATCTCCTCTCCGCCGCCGCGCCGCCGCCGCGCCCGCCTTTGCTGACATTCTTCGCCTTCGCCAAAAAGCGCACTCGTTTGCTCTTCTTTTTCGCACCCTTGTATCACTGCACATCTCGAATGCATGCGAATCGGAATGCTGCCGTTGGCAGCATCATTAGTGGGTGTATATTCCAGAATCACGTGAATCTTGTGTGTGAAACGTCGTGCGCATTGCTGCGCTGCGAAGAGTCCGAAATGAAGCGCTGCTGCGTCCTCGGCAGCAGCGATCATCCCCCGCTGACAGGAGTAATGGGTGCCACGCGTTCTCCACCATTCAACAAAGTGCTCGCAAGGCCATCCTCATCGACCATTTCCTCATTCACGCTCCACCTAGCCGACTCTAAGATGCGCTGCAGCGCTTCCACATCGGGCGTCGTGTGCGCGTCGTCAGACTTGCCCTCGGCCAGCGCCGCCTTTCGTTCGAGCAGGATCAGACCGGCCAATTCCGACAGGGGAAAGCCAGCGCGGGGCAGGTATAATGGAAGCTCCAAAGAGCCTGCAGCATCGCGCGCCGAGGCAAAAAAGAGGACGGAGATGGGTGCGCTGGGTGAAGAGGCTGGCTTGCTGCCATTTGCGACCATCGTCGGCTCGCCCGCTTGCTTTCCATCTGGGGTCGTCGTACTGCTACGGTCGCCCGCAAGCCCCGCTTCCGCCTTTTCTGAGTCGGACGTCTGCTGCTGCAGCGTCGTGATCCGCGCAGCATCGTCTTGCGCGTCTTGCGCGTCTTTTGCTCCTGCCGCTGCATCCCAGCTTCCACTCGTAGCTGCCGCTCCTGCCTCCTCCTTCCGCAGAGCTTCTTGTCGCGCAGTGTGATGTTCTGCTCTGTGCTGAAGCGCAGCAGCAAAGGCGGTCGCGCCACTAGCCATGCCAGTCGAAATCTGCGCCGCAATACCATGCAGGTCGCGCTGGGCATGATGACCTTGCTGATTCTTTTGCGTCGAAGCTCGTTTCAAGCTGCCGTCCGCTGTGGCGCCCGCGGTCGCGGTCGCGGTCGCAGCCGCAGTCTTGTCATTCTTCTCCTTCCTTTCCCGCCTCTCAAAGAGCGAAGAGGGCGTTCCGGGTCTGCTGGAATCTTTGTGCTTCCTCAAGCTGTCAAAGAAGCTTCGCGCGCCACTCGGCTTGCGCTTGGGCGAAGAAGCAGACACGCTCGTATCCGTCGTCCCTTGCGTGCCCACTCGACTGGGCGTCGCTGTAGACGGAGAAGCATTTGCAATCTCGTCGTCTTCCGCAACAGGCGACGTCGTCGTGACGTGCTGCGAAAAGTTGCGATCGATGGGGCTCCTCGAGAGTTGCTCAGTGGGTGTGACGAAGCGCTCGACTGGACGAAACCCGGTCGGTGTCTTTGGCTCAGCGCCTGGTGTCGCGTATCCATTGGCAGTCTGGAAGCGCTCTAGCGATTCCTTTGGATCTTCGGGTCCAAGACCCGGCGCTTCTTGATGCTCGGCGACCGGTTGCCCAACGCTGCGAGCGTCGCTGCTCTTGATCGCTGCGTCGCGTGCTTCCTGCCCGCTGTTGCCCGCGCGGGAGGCATTCCCTGCAGCAGCAGCAGCTTCGACGTGGTCGTCCGGCTCAGTACCGGCCCTTTTGATCGCTGCCAAGTCCTTTTTGTTAAAGGGCGCTTCCTTGTCGTCTCCACCCAAAATGACCCATTCCGAAGCGCCGACTTCTGAATTGCACATCTCCTTGAAGCGCCGCATCATCTGCTCTCGCCTTTCGTCGCAAGTCTTGACCAGATCTGGCCAGTACGCATCGTGGTTGTACTTGGGATCCAGCGTGCCACCAAAGTCGGCGCTCAACTGCTCCGAGGGGACTTCGTCCTTGATGGCTTCATCGAATTTGCACTTGCTCTTTGTGACGGGGTCGATAAAAGGCTGGATCGCGCTCCAGAAGGCTTTGAAAATCCAAGGCACTGCGCGCGTGGACGCGTCAGCTCAAGCGTCTTGTCCTTCAGACCGCGTAAATGCGCTCACCATTGATGCATAGCGCCACACCCAATCGCTCCACGTAATGATTCTGAAGGGGGCCCAATGATAGGGGGCGTGTGAGCGAGCCTGTCAAACTGAAGTCACACGAGCCTTTCAAACTAAAGTCTAGCCTGCGTCAAGCTCACTTGGAGGATGTACAGCATGAGCTTGGCATTGGCAATGCTGGTTGGGTTGCGTGACCGATGATCAAAGTTGATCAGAAGGGCCAATTGTTCGATGCCAGGAGGCATCAGATCCACGCTGCGCTCCAAGATCCACACGGCGAACTGCATCTGCCTCGGCGTTTCCTGCGCGCGTGGGGAGAGTGCGAGGCCGCAAGCAGAGTCTTTGTTAAGTATACCTTCATCAACGCCCCGCACGCTTTTGCTCCCGCACCCACCTTTGTGTCGTTCCTGTGAGGATGCATGTAATGCAGCGGTCTCGCCTTGTTATCGTATCCCAGCACCGTCTCCTTTCCGCTCTTGGCCTCGTGCGCCATCTCATCGGGATCCAGCTTGTCCACACCGAATTCTCTCCTCCAAGCGATCGTCTCTGTCAACCTCTTTTGCGCCTGCGACACATCCCACTTTGTTGCGCGAAGATACCTCAGCATGCTTTCTCTGCTCAACAGTCTCAACTTTTCCCACTCGGTTGCGGGCTGCTTGGCTGCGCCGGTAGCGAGCGAGATGGGGTACTGCGTGACGTCTTGCTTAAAGTAACGCAGCATCTTGTCGTACGCTTCAGATTGCGCCGTCGTGAGAGCTGCGGGGGGAGCGGGTCTGCATCCAGGTGCGGGAACGGGAAAGACGCCGGTGAATCCGTTCAGCTGCACATCTTCTGCCTTCTGTTGCGCCTCTGATTGCCCATTCAACGTTCCCAAAGTGGCCACGCTAGCAACGCTGGCTGCTCGGCCAGCTGCTCCCCACACTCCGCTGCGAATCCGAGCGACGCGTCCCTTGTCCGCTCCCGTCGATCCAGATGCCTTGGAGAGCCGTGAAGCCTCTCGATCGAGGGCTGGCAGCGACATCGTGGGAGCTGGTCCCGAGCGAGAGCGATGTCTACTCTCGATGTGGTGCCAAATGACTGGCTGGATGTATGCGTGGCTGCGACCCTCAAAAGGTGTGGTGGTGGTGGTGGTGGTGGCGGCGGTAGTGGTGGTGATGTGTCGGATGCAGGGTATGCTGGGAGGGTACGCAGGCCTGCTGGTAGGCACTGTAAGCTGTCTGATCGCGATCGAGTCCGGAGAGCGATCGCTGAGACGTTGCACGCGCGCGCGCGCCTCTCAAACCCTGCCGCTGCTGTTCTTTTTGTAGGGGCAAGGTGGCTTATTTGCCTGTCTGACTGCACCAGATCGGCGTTTTTTGCATGAACTCAGACATCCATCAGCAGCAGCTAGGGCGCGGAGAATGCCTGGCTGCCTGATGCCTGCCTGCGCCTGCTTCACTGCTGATGATGCTTTTAATAAGCTCGTTGCATGCGCGCGCACGATGACATGGGCGGCATGCAGTCGCGATTGTGAGTCGTGATGAGTGAGTCTATGTGGGCGCGCTGCGGGAAGATACAAACGATGAATATATCGATCGGGTGCTTAGCTCCGGCGAGCGCGCGCGTCATTGCGCTAATTAAAAGGTGAATTGATTTCGCGCGCGCGGTGACAGCAGCTGCTTCGAGTCCAAGCATGCACTCACCCACGCAGCAAGCACGCTCAGCCGTGCGTCACGGTCGAGCGAACTTGCGACTGGCTTGATCGCCTAGCTCGCCCCTCATCACGATCGCAGGTTGATTGTTGCGTTGTGGTATACGGTGACAGAGGTGCGTGCTGCCACTCATCGTGACTAGTCGTGAGTCCAACTCCAGCCTATAGCTCACTTGACCCCGCGCGCGCGCTCACTCAAGCGGGAACTTACGGCGCGCGGCATGCGTGCGGGACCGATCTCGATCTCGACAATCGTGAATCGCCGCGATCCACGCGCGCGCGCCGAGTTCCGCCCGCCGGCGTTTGTGCGCCGTACAACGCGGTTGCTTGCTCCCGTTCATACGCGCTTGCGCGCGCGGAGACGATCCAGCTCCTCTCCTTTCCTTCACGGGAGTGTAACTCTAGGCTTACGTTGTGCGTGGAACTCATTTGGTGTTTCCGCTCTCTCCGTACGGGAAGAGGACTCCGTTGCGGGTACACGTCGTGCTTGGCGGTACTGGTACCACCCTGCGTAAAAGTATACCTGCCTGCATACCTTTTGCCAAGCCCACCTCTCTCTGACCAACAGGGTAGTGCTGCGAATGGGCCATCATTCATCGCTAAATCCGAGCTTGAGCCGCTAATTCTCGGCCGCGATGATTCGACATTCACGATTGCGTCCCTTTCGCAGCTCGAGACGGGTGTTTCATGCCCCCCCGCCATAAGCGAGGGCTCGACAGGCAGCAGCCACATAGACGACCCTGTGCCTGTCACTCAAACTGACCGCACTCGCGCCTGTGTGACTCTGATTGACCCGTCATCGCGACCGTCAGTGCGTCGCTGCATGACGCCGCGTGAAGAATCTGCCGCGCCATCCCGCGGACCTCTCGCTGATGAGCCGCGGAGCATGACCCTGCTGCTGCTGCTTCTCGTATCACGTGTTGCGCACGCGCGTGCGTGCATAGCATGCGTCACGTACGATCTGGTGCTGCATGCAGACCCAGCCAGCGTAAGGTCGAGAATGTTCTCAGTATTCCGCGTGCGAATACGAATTCCTATGCCTTCTTCGCGAGCGCGCGAGGGACTCGTGACTTCCAGAAGCTTTTTTGGCGGGCTGCGCTGGATTGTCGCTCATCGCTGCAGCGTTGCGCACAGACGCTTCAAAGAAATCTGCGGGCGCGCGCTCCACAACATCTTCGAGTCTGATGAGTCGAGTGCCTGCTGCATGGGCTGCCAGTTCTGTCCAGCAGTCGCGAGTCGTGAGTTCGAAGGTCCAGAGTCCAGCCGTCGCTTCCATTCACGACCACCGCATACAAGCTTGACTGCCATCGAGGGAGGACACACTAGCATACACGAAGCCTTCGATCACGCAAAGCGCAACTGCTGCTAGACGCCGCAACCGATTCATCACTCGCAAGCAACGCATCCTTGAGGGGCACTACTAATCCCACCATGGCTCCCATCGCACCCCCCGTCTTTTGGGCTCAGCGTTCTTCAGAGTCAGAGCCCGAAAAGGTGAGTCGGTAGCGCGCTCGAGCACAACTGTAACGCGGGGCTCTGACGGTCCTCATGCCCATCCTCTTCTCTTCATTCAGAACCTCGTCCTCCTGACCATCGAGGCACCAAACCTTCCGCCCAAGCCTGCGACAAAGGTGGATCTGCAATCTGACGGCTTCGCTTTTGAGAGCAAGGTTCAGGGCGATAAGTCCAAGAGCATCGAAGAGAAGGAGTACAAGTTTGATCTCAAGCTGTTTGGCGAGATTGTGCCAGAGGTGAGTTTTGCTGAGCGCGCGCACGACAAAGCTCGCAGCCACATACATCGTGAGGCAGTGCCGAAGCAGCATTGCTTTTGAGCGCATGATGTGCAGCATGTGTCGTGTGTGGGAGCGAAACGCAAGCTGACTTTTGATCTCCTGCTCGCAACACAGGAGAGTCAAGTTGTTCAAACAGACAAGCACCTCTTTCTCAAATTGAGAAAGAAGGAGCATCAGCTGGAGTACTGGCCCAGATTGTCCAAGGACAAGGTGCGCTTGCACAATGTCAAGACCGATTTCGAAAAGGTGAGCTGGCGTAGCTGAATGAATGCCATGCTAGAAATGCGAGGAACACGTTGCGCTCGCACGCCCAGCGCACACATGCTCACACGAAGTGTTTCTTGCATCGCGCTTCAGTGGGTCGACGAGGATGAGCAGGATGGTGGAGAGGACCTCGATGCGCTGGGCGGAGCTGGAGGTATGGGCGGATTAGACCCTTCCATGATGGGGGGCATGGGTGGCATGGGCGGCATGCCTGGTATGGGAGGAATGGGAGGCATGGGAGGTGGAGATGGCGGAATGGGCGGCATGGACCTCCAAGGTGCGTAAAATATGCCCAAAAAGGACCAGGGCCGGCGTGCACTAAAGCTGACGTGCTGCCGCACCGCGATAGCTCTCATGGCGCAAATGCAGCAAGGCGGAGGCGCTGGAGGCATGCCAGACTTTGGTGCTGGCGACGACGACGACGACGACGATGACGGGGGCGACGATGAAGGTGCGGATGCAGATGCGCCCGCGTCCACCGAAGGGGCCAAGTCGATCGACAAGGTGGACTGATCGCAGGACCACAAAATGCCCAACGCCAAACGAAAGAACGGCGGAGTACGCCCCGAAAGAACGGCGGAGTACGCCCCTTGCATTCCGGCAGTTTAGCAAACGCAATCAACACGTGGTCCTTCTCTCCTGCGTGTCTCCGCAGTGGTAGCGAGTTACGATTTGGTATAGATTGCGAGAACATGCTGTGTGTGTGTGTGTGTGTGTGTGTGTGTGTGTGTGTGTGTGTGTGTGTGTGTGTGTGTGTGTGTGTGTGTGTGTGTGTGTATGTGTGAGTGAGTGAGTGAGTGAGTGAGTGAGTGAGTGAGTGAGTGTGCCCCAGACACGGATCCGCTCGCTTCGCGTCATCTCCACCTCTCCACGAGGTTCAAGCCCTCGTCCAAACCAAGA